CTATCAAACTATTAAACATTACTATTAATGTTATGGGTAAAACAAACATTATAATAGTATTAATAGCATCCACCACCAGTACTTGAAGTTTCTTTTAACCTTTGCATTAAAATACTTGTACTTTTTACTGACAATGAGTATAATAAACTATGGGAAAGAATATAAAACCGATAACCCCACCAGTTTGATCACAACGATTTTCGCTCTGTTGACTGTGACCAAGGAATGACGAAAAAGGCCAATTGATTGCTATACATATATCGTTAAACAGTTAAAGTTACCACAATTTACATACTCAAGAAACAAAATAATATTTGCAAATCAAGCACACAAATTATCAACCAATTTTTGTGATTTGCTTTTAGTATCTGTTGGAACCAGTTCTCGAATTCCATTACCAGAACATCGATGTCACTTATCGCCAGGGCACCCAAGTAGATACAAGACGAGTAGTAACGTAGTTTTGTACAGAAGAGCACATACACGGATAGACTGTTGCCCAGTAGACAAAAACACAAGAAAATTGACAGGCAGTATCGTGAAATGTGACTAAAAAACAAATTCATATTTAATTGCGATTAGGCTGCGATGATTACTATTACATTTTTCTGTCTGATTTCTATTTGAATTTGGATAAATGGAAGGCGAGCAGTCAATGTGTTTGTTCGCTATATATATATATATATATATATATATATATATATAAGTATATTTATTACAATTAAAAGCATCAAAGAGATACTTCGTCACAGATGTTCCGAGATGACCTGCTTTCGATAGCTCGATCGTCTTATTCCGCTTACCGATCGATCTTTTTTCCTTTGCCGTCTTTTATTTTCTCTGGAGAACTGAATTCTGCAAAAAAGAAAAAGCTCTCATTCCGCGATTTGGATATTTTATACAGTTTTAAGAATCATTGCATTACTGCTCCGAAAACAGGGTTAATTAGATACTGCTATTTTTCGGAATCTGAGTTGCCATTAATCCGACAGTAAGAATCAAATTTTGTCGCTCGATTACAAAATACCGTTTCGACCCGACACAACGTGCGCGTAATTAAACATTAGGATTTCGAAAATAAAACTTTAATTTGACGATAATAATTAATTAATATTTTTATATAATATGTGAAATATTGCTTACAGAGAATACATTTTGAAAATAAAGAAACTATGTATTTGGTAATGAGATGGTTTATATTTAAATAGAAGATTACTAAATTCAAAACTTCACAATAAGACAAATTTAATTAGATTTGTTTATTTAAACTTTATTAATTGCAACTACACTTATAATTAAAAATAACAAAAAAATTAGTTTTAATAAAAAGTAATTAAACAAAATATTAAATATTATAATATAATAGTATAATTGATGTCGCGCTTCATCATTACATTACCTTATAATAATTGCATGACAGAGTAACGCACTAATCCTCAAAAACTTCCATTCTCATATCTTTGTTCCTTTTAGTATTTGAACGTTTCGTAAACATATGGATCAATTCTTTGCAAAAATTACTTCCAGTTGCGCAGTACAGAACAAAATTTATTCCATAATTTATTTCAAACAACAAATCGCAGATTAGAAAATATATCAAAAGATACGTATCAACGTATCTCACATCCCATGTCTGCAAATAAGATTATTAGCATTATAAGTTATTATTCAATAATTATAAACAATAACACAGTTTTTATATCAATTGCGTGAAAAAAAATTTAGAAATAATAGCAAAAAATTTAAATATTAAAAAAAATTAGTTAATACTTTTTTATAACATGTAAAATGCATTTGTAAAGTAAAGAAACTTTGTATTCGATAGTTGACTTTTTTAAAATTGTAAATGTTAATACGTACGCCATAGTTGATACAAAGTGTACAGACTTGTATAGGTACATTCAAACATATGAATAAACTTGAAATAATAACAAGCATTTTTGTGACTTCAATGTGAGACGCTTCATTGTCTGAACTTTGTGTGTTCTTATTGGAAGCAGAGGAACTTAAAGTCAAATTTTTTCGGATACAATTTTGCTTGCGGATGTTGTGTACTATTAGAGCATTAAAAATTACTACCATTGTTGCAGGTAAGACAAACGTTATAATAGTATCAATAGTGCTTACAATTTTTATCCCGAGTGAAAGATTTGTTCTATCATTTTTTGTGAAAAATGGTACGTACAATAAAATACTGCATAAAATAAACCAAGGGATAGAGTATAAAACTGCTAATCCTGCCAGTCCAATCAATATGATTATCGCTCGATTCACTGTGTACAAGGAGCGACGAAACGGCCACTTGATCGCTATATATCGTTGAACTGTAAAGGCCACTATAATCCACACACTCAAAAAACAAAATAACCATCGTAAACCAAAAAAAAGAACGAACAACCAATCCCCATAATACAGAATATTCATAAAATATAATCACATCATAAATGACGTCACCAACACTCCAATGTCGCTCATCGCAAGTGCACCCAAGTAGATGCTGGATGAGTGGTAACGTAGTTTTGTGCAAAAGAGTACACACACAGATAGACTGTTGCCCACCAAAGAAAGACACATAAAAATTGGTATGCAGTACTGTTCAATGTACACAATCACATTCAATGCTGGATTATGTGCGTCGCTCATCCTTGCGTATTGATTTTGAATTTGTAGCTTCGGTTGTTAACGAGATAAAAAGTAGAGTGTTTGACGTAGATTGGGTAAAACCTTGTGTCATACACAATGTCAAATAATTCCGTGTTAATAAAAACAAACTGCAGTTTGATTACAAACCAGTTGATATAAACCGGTTTGATTGAAAAATTGTCGGCGGGTTTTACCGTAGTAATATGAAATCGATACCGCCGTACGATTGGCTACAGCTCCGTGTATTGTTTTTTTTTTTAATTTTACATAATATAAGTGCAATGTAGTAAAATAAACGTGTTGCTGTATTATACACTATAACTACGGACCAGTTCAGCTGTTTTAGGTCTATTCTAATAAGTCATAATATGCTGTCTGGCGCAAACATACTGAGCTGTCTGTCGGAACCAATTATCTGAAGTCGTGCGTCAGAGACGGGAAAAAAGATGTTTAATTTTTATGTATCTTCTTTCCTGTTATGACAAAGAACATATTTATTAACTTTTTAATATTGACTCAAAATTCAACTACAACAATAGATGAAATTTTTGACGATATCATATAACAGCAGCACGAATTTCTGTTGACAAAGGTTTTTTACGACTTCCTTTATGTAGTTTTATTCATTTTTGTGACAATTATTAAACTTTATTTTTTATATTATAACATGATATTTAATGTAAAACGGTGTGTCACAATGATATCCATCATACGATAGGCGACATCCTACAGCGATATACGACTTATTGTAGAATAAATCTTAATAACTGTTACAATAACTTAAAATAACGTAATATAATTGCACATTAAGCTCAAACATTCATTGTACTGTTTTCAAGCTTATTTGTTATTTTTACAGCAGCAATAATTTTATTTATTTACATTATTAAAAATTTAAATTTAAATTTAAATTAAGAATTTTTCCTGCCACTCGGGTTTGAAATTGGATCTGATCTGCCAATAGAGTGTGAAATCTTTTATTAGAATCAAAGAGTAACATATAATATGGTACGTGGTAGCAAAAATTAATTAAACTTTTTGATAAGACAGTTTTTATTAATTTTTTTTATACAAACATCGTCAATTGTATATATGTTTTTAGTTAGAAACAATTTTAACTAATTTCTCTTTTAATCGTGTGATGTATGATTTCCAAATGACAAAAGAAATTATGAAAACATATATATGTACATATAAACATTTAATAAATTTATTCGACTTATATACTTGACACAAATAAAAATTGTCAATAAAAAAAATAAAAATTGAAAAAGGTAAAATAATAAAAATTAAGGTAGTTCCAACAATTTTCCAATTATTCAATTATTATTTCATTTTCATAATTGCCGGCACATATCGTTATTTACACGTAGAAAATACAGTCAAGGTGCATCAAACATATAAATATGTTTGAATTTTTGTAACTCTAGTGTGTGACGTTTCATTGTCAGAACTTTGAGTTTTGTTATTGGATGCAGTGGAACGTAAAATCAAGTTTCTTTATATACGATGCTTGCGGATAATGTGATTACTATTAGAGCATTAAGAATTGCTATCATTTTTGCGGGTAGCATCAATATTATGCAAAATTCATCACCAATATATCAAGTTAGACAAATTCTTGAATTTTGCAATCTTTATAACAAACCATGGGATCGAGTATAAATTTGCTAGTCCCGCCAATCCAATTATGATATTTGCTTGGTTGACTGTGCACAAAAAGCGACGAAGTAGCGGCCACTTTATTTAAGATAATTTTTGTATCTATGTATCGTTAATTACACATACGTTTTAATAAAAAATTTTAATTAATTCTATTTTAATCGCATATTGTATGATTTTGAAAAAACAAAGGAGCAGCAAAAATAATTTTATACATATTTTTATTTAAAAATTTAGCTACTGTAATATACTAAGAAAACAATTTAAAAATTAGAAAATAAACTAAAATTATAAATTATAAATTATAAATTAATAATTCATGTAAAATGTGTGTATGTATTGTGTCTGTGTGTGTGTGTGTGTGTGTGTGTGTGTGTGTGTGTATAACATCTA